TGCTCAAGGTAGATACCAGAGTGGTATTCCTTAAAACAATAAAGGCTATATATGACAGACCAATGGCCAACATCATACTAAATGGGGAGAAACTAAAACCATTCCCCAAGGCAAAGACGCCCATTCTCTCCACTTCTCTTCAGTATAGTTCTGGAATAAGGCAAGAAAAGGATACTAAAGGGATTCACATGGGGAAAGAAGAAATTAAACTATTCCTTAAGGACCCAAAAATCTCCACCCCCAAATGTCTAGAGCTAATCAACCACTTTATCAAAGTAGCAGTTTTCAAAATTAACCCACGGAAATCATGAAAACAACCCCATTTGCAGTAGCCTCAAAAAATACTTAAGAATTAACCTAACCAAAGATGTAAAAGATCTTTATAGCAAAAACTATAAAAAAAAATCTAAAGAAAAAAGTCAAAGAGGACACCAGAAAATGTTAAGAACTTCCATGTTCATGGACAGGTAGAATCAGTATTGGGAAAATGGCCATTCTGCCAAAAATGATATACAAATTCAATGCAATCCCCATCAAAATTCTAATGTCGTTCTTTACTGAGATAAACAATCCAAAAATTCATTTGGTACAACCAAAGACCTAGAATAGCCCAAACAATTCTAGGTAATAAAAGCAATGTGGGTGGTATCACAATACCAGATTTCAAACTCTACTACAGAACCCTAACAAAAAACAACAACAGTCTACAACAACAACAGCAACAAACACTTTGGTACTGGCACAAAAATAGACCTGAAGACCAATGGAATAGATGAGAAAACTCACAGGATTTTTTTTTGGTCAGTTGTGGGGCCTGAACTCTGGGCCTGGGCGCTGTCCCTCAGCTCTTAAGCTCAAGGCTAGCACTCTACCTGAGCCACAGTGCCACTTCCGGCCTTTTCTGCTTATGTGAGGCTGAGGAATCGAACCCAGGGCCTCATGCATGCAAGGCAAACACTCCACTTTCCCCGCCCTCACAAGATTCTTAAGAGGTCAGAATAACGGGGAAGGAAGGCATGTTGAAGAGCATCTGAAATTTGAATTCCTTCTTACGAAGTCACCACCAACAATCCATATAACTTGTCTTGGAGTTCTTTTTGTGACAAAGAGTCCATTCTTCTAGACTTGGACATTGTGGGATAGATCTGATTTATTCTGTGCCCCAAGAGGCTTCTGTTGTCATTTTACCAATTTCTTTTTTTTTTTTTTCTGGTTATTCAGAAACAAGTCCAAGCTGTTTCTGTAAGAATAGCTTCTAGATCTCTGGAGGTAGTACTGGAGCTCTAATATAAAACCTTGCATTCCCTTCATTATTTTCTTTGGTTATTGTTCTCCAAAAATACTCTAGGTAATTTATGACCCTTAGCCTATTTTGTTTAGATCTGAATCTGGTATTTCGGATGGTTTGAAAGAGGAATGGCATGGGTACTCTTCCTTTGTTCTATATTCTATGCTTTTTTGAGTGCATATAATCCTTGAATTAGTTTCTTTGGTGGCTACCTCCCAGTATTTCCTCCATCATTTCAACTACAAACTCCTACTTTTTGGTTATTACTTTCTTTCTGTCCAGCTCATTCTGCCTGGTGGCCAACTCAACATCTTTCAGACCCCATCGGACTGTCCCTTACCCTTCTCCTCATGTGTCTTTCTACTTAGCTTGGACTTTAAGAAATTGAGGGGAGGGGTAACAAGGTTGACAAAAAATGTATTCATTACCTTACTTATGTAACTGAAACCCCTCTGTACATCACCTTGACAATAACAAAAAGAAATCTTTAAGGAGTTGCCATTCAGCAAAGCAATTTATGAATACAATGCGTCTTGACCAATGTGGGCCCTTCCATCATTCTCTCCCATCCCTCCTGACCTTCCCTCTTCTCTCAATTTTCTTAATTTTGTAGGACATGCACTGACTGCTATGATTGCATTCTATAGCCTAGACTGTTGCTGTATCATTATAATCATTCCCATGAATACAGTCACAGCTCCTTTCTTTCCCCCCTTCTCTCTCTCTTTTTTTTTGGGGTCCAGTCATGGGGCCTCAACTCTGGGCCTGGGCGCTGTCCCTCAGCTCTTCAGCTCAAGGCTAGAGCTCTACCACTTGAGCCACAGCTCCACGTCCAGCTTTTTTTCTTTTTGCTTATGTGGTGCTGAGGAATCGAACCCAGGGCCTCGAGCATGCAAGGCAAGCGCTCTATCACTGAGCCACCTTCCCAGCCCCTCTCTCTCTCTCTCTTTTTTTTTTTGCCAGTCATGGGGCCTGAACTCTGGGTCTGGGTGCTGTCCCTCAGCTCTTCAGCTCAAGGCTAGCACTCTACCACTGGAGCCACAGCGCCACTTCCGTTTTTTTTTTCTTTTTGCTTATGTGGTGCTGAGGAATCGAACCCAAGGCCTCATGCTTGCAAGGCATGCACTTCACTGCTGAGCTACCTTCCCAGCCCCACCCCCTTTCTCTCTTGAATGGCAAATCAGGATCCCAATTGTATCCTATTCTGTCTCATCCAGCCCTTCACCCAAAGAGTTAGACTTGCCTAGAGAAACACAGAAACAGGTCAATTGACTGTCTTACTTTGGTTTGTGTTTATATAACAATCTATGCTTACAGTTCATCTGGGAAGTCCAATACAGAGCACTAGCATCTACTGAGGGACTTCATGCTTCATCATCCTATGGTGGAATGTGGAAGGGCAAGAGATCTCAGACTGGACTGGATACCAATGGCTCATGCCTGGGATGCTAGCTGTTCAGGAGGCTAAGATTGGGGATGGGGGAATCACAGTTCAAGGACAGCATTGGAAAAATGAGTTTGTGAAACTCAATCTCGGCCAGGAACTGGCTGGGTACAGTGGTACACACCTGTCATTCCTGCTACATGACTTGAGAGGATTGTGGTTTCAGACTAGCCTGGGCAAAAATATTCATGAGATTCCATCTCAACAGAAAAGGCTGGATGTGGTAGCATGTGCAGATCATTCTAGCTATAACAGGACGCATAAATGGGAGCATCACAGGTCAGGCTAGGAAAGTCACAAAGTGAGACCCTACTCAAAAATAGCCAAAGCAAATGGGCTGGAGACATGGCTTTAGTGGCAGAACACCTGAATAGTAGGCACAAAGTTCTGAGTTCAAAACCCCAGTACCACCAAAGAATGAGAGAGAAATACAGAAGCACAAAATCAAGCCTGCTCCAATCTAAAGGTCTCACTCCTACTGCACATGGCTTATATATAGTTTTACATGCAATATGTGCAAATATATAGGTTGCATTTTTCTTTCTGAAGTACCTTCAAGGGTTTCTCTAATGATTCTCTTGCTATCAAAAATTAAATGCTAATACTTTTTGAGAATGAAAAATGAAAATAAAAACCTCTACTTAAAAAAAAAGTCTCATGGGGCTAGGAAGGTGGCTCAGTGGTAGAGTGCTTACTTTGCATGCATGAGGCCCTGGGTTTGATTTCTCAGCACCACATAAGCAGAAAAAGCTGGAAGTGGTGCTGTGGCTCAAGTGGTGGAGCGATAGCCTTGAGCTGAAGAGCTGAGGAACAGCACCCAGGCCTATAGTCCAGCCCCCACAACCAACCAAAAAAAATTATCAAAAAAAAAGTCTCATTCCCTTTTATAATTGGCATTAATCTATCTGTGAGAGTATAGCCCGCATGACCTAATCTCTACAGTATTCCATCAGGGATTGAGTTTCTGACACAGCCTTTATAGTTGATATGTTCAAATCATACTACTGATATGAATTAAATTCTTGGTCTAAAACTTCAAGGAGACTCCCAGAGCTAGCTGGCTAGTTCCTAGGTCTGTCTAAGTAACTTGGTCACATATCTTTATCCTTCATCCTCTAGTGCATCTTTCTCCACACTCACTCTCACTTGATGAGTTTATCTTCAACTAGACACATCTCCCACTTGTTCCTTCCACCACTCCTACCCACTTGCTCCATCTGTGCCCAATATTCTGCCTCCCTCTGGATAGTTTTTGTGCTCCTAAGACTAAGCTCTCCAGATGTGTACTACATTATTTTATTTTTTGTTTCTGGTCATGGGGCCTGAACTCTGGGCCTGGGCGCTGTCCCTCAGCTCTTCAGCTCAAGGCTAGCACTCTACCACTTGAGCCACAGCGCCACTTCCGACTTTTTTCTTTTTGCTTATGTGGTGCTGAGGAATCGAACCCAGGGTCTCAGGCATGCAAGGCAAGCGCTCTACCACTGAGCCACCTTCCCAGCCCCCCCCCCATGTATTACATTCTTGCCCTCCAACTTACTCAAGGACTTTTGTGCCCCTCCTGTAATCCATCAATTTTCTTTGCTACAATATTATATTTTTCTCTTTTCAAATGAGGCCCACTGACTAAACTGCTAAAATTCTGGCTTGCCCAGCTTGTGTAAGTGTTACCAGAACTCCATCCCCACAGCGCACCAGCTGGGACAGGAGCAGCAGGGAGCCCTGATGGCAGACAGGAAAGGTAGGTGAGGAGGGTGGGGCTGCCAATATCTTCACCTCAGCAAAGACATGACATCTCATACATCTATCTAGAAGGTTCAGAGTTAGGTGGTCTTCAAGAGTGGCTCATAACGCTGTTCTGTCCTCACATAGAGATGCAAAATTATGGTAAATGTGGCAAGCTACCCTCCAAAGCTAACTCATCAGAAGTATCCCATCTTTCTATCACTTGCAACATCTTGTTTATGCTGAAAACCCAGTCAGCTCCCACCAAGAGAGTTTTCCTCCTAGAACAACAGATTCTTCACTATTTCCAGGCCACAGAGCCTTCAGCCCATTAGTTGTCTTCCCTCTTCCCTCTTCTTCCAAAGATTCTTCCAGAGAATGCACCCATTCAATTCCTGTTTTCTATCTGATACATGGGGTGCAACTGGAATTTTCACACCACCTGGAAAAGCACATTATCTACTACCTCATATTTGAGGTTCTGCCCAAATAGTCATGGTATCTCCTAGGAGTCCTTTTTACTGAAGGGACAGCTTTCCCACTTACTTGTCTGTCACAGCCTGCATGAATGCATCCAGAAACTCATCATATTCCTTCCCACGCACACGGCGATGCTTTAGGCCAATGTACAGCGGGTCTCTGAGCAGCTCCTGGAACAGAAAGAGAAGAACCAACTCCATTGCTATTGATTTATTATCATTATCATTATTATTAGTTTAAAAACAACTGTCCATGTTTAGCATGAAGAACTATGGGGTAGGAGAAAAAAGGAAGTAGAAAGCTGTCTGGGTCTTTCTACCCCTACCTAGGAATCAGCTTTGTAAGTCTCTGCCTTTTTAGTCCTGGAAGGTGATATCTGCCTGTAATTCGAGCTGAGGGGAAGTTAGGTGATCCTGGCTAGCTAGTCGGGACAGAAAATGATGGTAGAGACCAGCTCTAAAGTGGCAGGGAGTTGACATGGCAAAAAGAAAAATAGCTATTTTATTTCCATTGGGTCATACAGGTTCCAGGGCCCAAATGCATATGCGTTTTGTGGCTGTGGCCTGGTGTGTGCCCCCTTAGCCTCCATTCAATCAAAAGTTCCGTCCAAATCTGAGACAGAGGATCTAATCATGGGGGAACCAAGTATAAAAACCCTCTGGTCAATTGGAGCAAAAGTATTCCCTTAGGGGAAGGAAAACAGAGGACCCTAACTGATCAGGCCCTGGAAGAGAATGTGCCCCCTTGTTTCTGGGCCTTTTGTTACACTAAGAGTCTGCCTTTTCTTCTTTTTAATCTTTAAGTTGTTGTACAAAGGAGTCTCCATTTAACAAAGCAGGTTATGAATACAGTGCATCTTGATCAATGTTACCTCTTTCAACTTTCTCACACATTCCTCCCAACCCATCCCTTTCCTCACTCTTAATTTTGTAGGATATACAAAATTCTTGACTATATCCTCCTTTTTTCCTCTTCATTGTCTACTCCTTCCCCCTTGACCCCACCCCACCCCTTTCAAGTACCGGCTTCCAGTGTTTATTTTGTTGAACTTTGATTTTGCCTTTCTAAGTGATTACACTATTGCTTCTATATTTTCACTGTCAAATAAGCCTTCTTTGTTTGCTTTAAATGTTTCCCTGCCCTTTGATGCTTTAATCCAAAGAGAAAACAAGCCTAAATCCTAGATGGTATCATTGTAACTCCTATCAATAAACACTTTTAAAAAGCTTTACCCTTTAAATGATCCTTTTATTAGAAAGATCATTGTACAACTCTCCAAGGAGATGGAAATGAAAAAGGAACTCAACATTCTGTGATAGGCTATTATTGTCACCTTACTTTTTTTTTTTTTTTGTCAGTCCTGGGGTTTTAACTTTGGGCCTGGCCGCTGTCCCTCAGCTCTTCAGCTCAAGGCTAGCACTCTACCACTTGAGCCACAGTGCCACTTCCTGTTTTCTGGAGATGAGTCTCAAGGACTTTCTTGCCCCAGCTGGCTTTGAACCGTAATCCTCAGATCTCAGCCTCCTCAGTAGCCAGGATTAAAGGCATGAGCCACTGGTGTCCAGCACCCCACTTCTTAAATGGAGAAGTTAAATACCTTGCCCAAAGTTACAGCACTAGCTAAGTGACAGAGAAAGTGACTCAGATGATACAATTCCAAAGCCTGAAGCCCCTTCAAGGTCACACTGAGGATGCTCAGAAAAGCATCTCAGTCATGGTCCCCAGGCCGTAAATCTGGTTTCCTCTGTAGGATGGGGTCTTCTTGCTCTAACATTCTTTCTGCCTCCATTCATAGGGCCATTAGATTTAGCAAATAAAAGTCAGGACTTCCATCAAATTGAAATTTCAGGTAAATATTAATCATATTTTATCATAAGCATGTTCCATGCAATACTTGGCATGTAATTAAATTAAAAACAATTAGGAATTACTGCTTGTCTGACAATACTACATGCTGGAGACTTCTAAATGCCCAAGCACATACCTAACGAGAAAAAAGGAAGAGGTCTGGGCAGTAAACGTTCCCATAGTCTTTCTTGTATGCAATTCAGTCGGTAAGGCACAGGGTGCAACGTGTGCCTCTTGCCCTGTGCAATTCCCAGCCAACGGCATTCTTGCTGATTTGGAAAAGCTACTTCACACCTGCTAGAGGTGTGACAGTTGGCTGCAGGTATGGATATAGCCTTTCCTGGGGTTCCATTCTGCCTTTCCCTACTCCAAGTGTGGTCTGCAGAACAAGAGGCTGAACCCCTGGACTTTCCCAGTCACAACTGAGCTCTCCTGGGAGAACTAGAAGAAGTCCCAGCTATAGCCTAGTTTCCTGGCCCCACAGCGTCAAAATGCTGGAGAGGAGAGGATGCTGTCATGAAGACTCCCAGGTCATGAAACCTCCCAGCAGGGCTCGGAGTCAGGTTAACCTCAAACCCCAGCTTGCTCATCTATAAAGCCAAGATGAGCATAAGCCAGGATATTCAAAGCATCACATGAGTAAATCACTTGAATACTCTATATTAGCATAAGAAACCATTTATTTATTTATTTATTTATTATTTTGGTTGGCTGTGGGACTTGAACTCTGGGCCTGGGTGCTGCCCTCAGCTCTTCAGCTCAAGGCGAGCACTCTACCACTTGAGCCACAGTACCACTTCCAGTTTTCTGATGGTTTATTGAGCTAAGAGTTTCATGGACTTTCCTGCCCCGGCTGGCTTTGAACCGTGATCCTCAGATCTCAGCCTCCTGAGTAGCTAGGATTACAGGTGTGAACCACTGGCACCCAGCTCAAAACTAATTTTTACTATAATCTACATCTTGAGGCATCGAACATTTTATTATGAAAATATAATTTTAAAAAGTCTTTTGCAGTCAATAGTATCTAATAAAGATTGTCCTTTTATTTTTACTAAATGTACTGTGCAATGTTTAGAGCATTCAGAAATTCTTCAGGACAAATGAAGAGTTTGACTCATCCCAGTTAAGACTGTCAAGTCTGAATTGGCCTCCTGACTCTTGCGCACTTACTTTCTACTCAAGGTCTTGGGCATGTCAGAACGTTTCTGTAGTATGTTCCCTCATAACATAAGGGGAAATGAAACCCATGAATAATTTCCAGAGACCAACAAGGCATCTCCGTGTGATCTTACAGAATCACAACATTTCACTCAGAAAAAGACCTTGCTGCTCATGAGGTCCACTTGGGAAACTCTGCATTAAATTGGATTATCTCAGGGCTTGGGGGAAGCCATTTCTGCTTTGGGGCTCTTTTTCCATATAAAATGAAGGGCTAAAGGAGTTAATGGTTCAGCTTCCTTCTAAGTTAGACAGCGTAACTGTCATGTGTTTTGTTTCACAGCACAGCACAACTAAGAGGTGCTCCCTTCCCTTGTTCTCTTGGAACTTATGAGACATCCCTTTTCATGGGAGCTGTGCTATGTATTTATTTTCCAAAACTCCTGGATGCTGGCAGGTAAAAGTGACTACATTTCAGGGCTGCATACAGCAGATGTTTTCCTTCAGCAGGAAACCTGCACGGGTGTTTTCTTTGATGATGAGTAAAACTCCTGTGGCCTCAGCAGTTTCATGGAGACACACACACACACAGATGGTGGAGTTGTTCTGACATCGAGACTCCCTGGAACACACCCTCACTGCACTGATGCAGGAGAGAGAGAGAAGTTACAAGGCTAAGCCTGCCTCTCCTGTAGCACAGGCTTGCTCTGAGCAAGACATGTGCCCCAGACTTGTGAGGAGAAGATAATGCAAATTGAACTGTAGGGTGGGAGATGACATAGTAAATCTATTGGAAGAGAGACAAACCATTGTCTTCCCAATGCTCTTCTACTCTGCAACTTTGAATTCTCATGCTCTGAGTGCAAGACTCAAGGGAGAAGCAGACACTTGGAGTGGATGTTACACAGGACCCATTAAAGTGAGCAATGAGGTGACAGGGTTGAAGCACTGACAACCAGGCCATTCCAGCCAGGCCTGGCTTTTTATTTATCCCCTTCATTCCTAGCAGAGTGCCTGACACTTACTAAACACTCAATAAACTTTTATTAAATAAGTAAAGTGCCCACAAAATAATCATAGTTGGAAAATTAGAACAAAATGACCAGCACACTATGATTATAGTTAGGTCATAACTACATCTAAGTATATGCATAGATAAGTGTGGAGGGAGATCACATATATAGCATTGTGGAAGAAATGCTCTTTCTGCTTTCTTTCAAAAATTTAAATAATACTCCACAGTTACTTTAATTAAAACAAAACACTCTGGAAGTCAAGAATTAGTCTTCACTTACAAAGAAATTGAAGCCTCAGTAGTGGTCTAATATATGGAAAGGGTCATCTTAAGATCCCAGTCTTACCACTTGTAGCAGATCTTTTTTAGCAAATTAAACTCTCTGGGCCTCAGTTTCCCCAACTGGAAAGAGAATGATGACAAGTGTTCTATTCTCTGGGCTACTGTTTGGCCTAAACTGGGTGTAAGGTACTGGTTTATGGTTATAGCTCATTTCTGGTCAGCTTTTCTGGTGGGTTTGTCACAAACTGGGGTCAACCCTGAACTTGAGCACACCAAGGGTGAGTGCTGGGGCCATCAACAATGAAGGATCGAAATGTATATCCTAGAGTCAACGAATACCCTTTCAGGGGATTCAGTAGCCCTAAATCAAAGTCATACGGCCAGGTTTTAGGAGTGAAGGTCTCCATTAAATCCAGTTGGAATACAGCCAGAGACATTGGATGGGAAGAATACCTAAGTTAAGGCTTGCTGCACTCATCTGTCTATCCAGGCAAAGATGCACATTTTGAAATTAGAAGTCCACTTTAATAGCTGCCTGGTATAAACGCAAGCATCTGGGTGGGGGAAGGGAAAACTGATTCTGCTGAGCAGCTATACAGCTCGTGCTGCAATCCAGCCTCCCATCTCCTAGGCTGGCAAGGAGGCTTGTGAAGAAGAAAAGCTTTAAAAGTGGAGGGCTGCTCAATGATCTTCCAGTCTGGTTCCCATCAAGTGTAAGGAGATGCAGGGGCACTGGAAGATGCATTACTACTTTTCAGTCAAGTCTTGCCCCACTCCTCTTGTTCATTCTCATCTCACTCTATCTAACTGATTTCCAAACTTGTAAGCAGGGTCTGCCTGGAACTTAATCATTTGATGGCATCTGTGGGCAAAAATCTAATAAAGCCCCATTCCTTGATAGAACTAGCATGCTCTTTTTTTTTGTTGAGAAATAAGGATGTGTGGTGTCTAGGCAAGAGGAAATCTGTGGAGACTTTTTCAAATTTTCTTGAGAGAAATCTCCACAGAATATAAATAAGGATTGCTTTTTGACAACGTGAAATCAAGAAAAGAATCTATCCTAAGGAAATAATCAGAGAAAGGGACAACATGAGGGTCAGAGCATGGGTTGTCTACAGATGGTCTAACTGCCCAACCCATGTTATATGAATTATGATATACCAGGCAGCTATTAAAGTGATCATGAAGAATAGTAGTATATCACATGGGAGAAAACTTACGCTGTACCTCAGAAAGAATGATGAAAAACTATTGAAATATAGACCTAATTTTGTTCTTGTGAGTGTTTTGGGGTAAAAAGGTTGGAAGGAATACAAGAAAGTGTAAAAATAACATTAGCTTTGGTCACGTGACTGACACCATTTTTAATACTTCTTTGGATTTCAAAAATAAAGCTCATTAAGAAGGAACTGTTGAGTCATTCATTAGTGGCTCACACTTGTAGTATTAACCAGCAGCTGATATATGGCGGTTTGTAATCCAAAGGAAAAAAAATCCACGAGGAACACAGAAAAGTCCACAAGATCTTAACTCTAAAATAACCAACTAACAAAAAGCTGAGCTGGAGGTGTGGCTCAAGTGGTAAAGTACCAGAAGAGTAAGCAAGCTGAGCAAGTGTGAGATCCTAAATTCAAATGCCCTATACTGCTGAGAGACTCGAGGAGAGAAAGAGAGAGAGAGAGAGAGAGAGAGAGAGAGAGAGAGAATGAGAATTCTTGGGCACTTTCTGATGCAGAGACACAGAACTGAGAATCACAGACTTGCACAAATACTGCTCATAGTATTTGTGGTGCTTGTAGCAGACAAACTCTTGGCTAGGGTTTGGCCTCCAGTTCCAAGGCAGATAAAATTACCCACAACATAGCTAAGTTTCTCAAGGTTGCTCAAATGCCTGATTCTGAGATTTCAGCCACTGGTACTGATGCTTGGAGTTTTAACCCTTCTACTCAGGCAACTCATCTAAAAAAATGCTGAAAAAGTACAGCACACTCTCACTTGCTGGTGATAACTTTCAAACACACCAGAGGGGTCAGAGAGGCTTTGAGGGGAATGGAATCTCTATGGGATCTTAAAGGCAATGGATGAATGGAAGCCCAAGCAAAGGTTATGATGGGCACAGAGGTAGAGGAGGAGCAATGGGACCTGGAAATGAAAGTGGGCTGGGAGAAGCAGCAGCCAGGAAGAAGGAAGGTCCTCCCCATTTATTTGGGAATGGGGAGACTTTGACCTTGATCTGGTCAAAAGGATGCTGAACATAGCTTTTGACCTCTTCTGCTTGTCCTAGACATAAACTGGTTATTACAGATAAGGGAAACCATGGGACCTATGTTTCTTTAAGTCTGGTTTGCTTCACTTAATATAATTTTTTCCAAGTCTTTCCATTTCCTAACAAACAGGGTGATGTCATTTTTTTCTGGTGGAGGCATAGAATTCCAGTGTGTGTGTGTATTGTGTATACCACATTTTCTTGATCCATTCATCTACTCAGGGGCATCTGGGTTGATTCCATATCTTAGCTATCGTGAATAATGCTGTGATAAACATGGTTGTGCTAGTAGCTTTGGTATACCTTGTTTGTGATAGTTTGGGTAAATGCCCAACAGATGCTAAATGAAGTGAACCCCAAGATAGGAACACAAGAGGTTTTATCTGATGTTCTTTTTAATGTACTTATAATGTACTATGTGATTTTTTTTGTTCCTTTGTATGTTCTTTCTCATGGTACAATCCCTGTTGTCACTGTATTTGATTCAGGTGTTCTGCATCTTGTATATACATTTTTCTAATTTTGGGAGGGGAAGGGAAATAACAAAATGCTGAAATAAGGATTCAGGATGACCCATTGTAATAATAAGATGTACAAGACAGTATGTTGAAAACAAACTTTACAACTTTGTGGGGGGAAAGGAGGGAGGAGTTGGGGAGGTGGAAAGGGAAGGGATGGTAGGGGAAAAACAAAGGAGGGTGTAACAAAGGAGGCTCTTGCCCTGCCTCAGCACCCCACCTTCTCTGCACCCCCTCTCTGTAGCCGGCCTATGATTTCCTCCTGGCATCTCTTCCAACTAAGCCTGTGCCCTTACACAGGCCTTGGGAACCCAAACTCTGGGCATTTCTCTACATTTTCTTCCAATCAAAACTTCCTTATTTTGGCTCACCCTGGATAGGAAATGTACTCATTACCTTGCTCATGTAACTGTAACCCCTCTGTACGATATCTTTACAATACAAATATATATTAAGAAGAAACAAAAAGGATGCCAATAAAGAAATTGCTATGTGGATATAACACCCCACCCACAAAAGCACTCCTCCTCTCCTTGGTCTAGACAGTCTGTTACCTCGTTGTTGGTGCCAACATCCAGCAGGACAGGGAGGCAATGCTGTGGGCTCACCCCACCGCACGCTGTGTACAGGGTCAGCTTGCCAGTAGGGATGCCCATGCCGAAGGAGCCCAGGTCTCCCAAGCCCAGTATTCGTTCTCCATCAGTCACCACCACAGCCTGAAAAACACAGCAAGGAGCCATCAATTGGAAGTGTCTTCTGAGACAAAGCTTTCATTCTGTGTCTAGCAGTACGGCTTGACAACTGGATGTCCGCTGACTCTGTGGGGAATTCGCCAACCAGAGGTAGCTGGTCCTCGGAGCAGGCTGGTGAGAAACCCCACTGTGGTGTGATGACAGAAAGACACCAGCCCTATATTCTGAGCTGTGGAGTGTGGACTGCAGACACAGCTGGTGGAAACCACATCTAGTCACTCTCCCTCAAAGAAGCTCAAAAGAATTCTCAGTCTCAGGTGGAGGATGGCAATGGAGAGGGATGGACATATGAAAAAAGAAAATGTTTCTACAAATATTTGTGTTGCTTCTCCAACACCAGGGTTTAGAGATGGAATGTATGTGCTTCCTGGCCTCATCCTAGGCTGTGCTAACTCAGATTTGCAAAGGACATGGCTCCTTGCAATCTTTCCTAGAGTCTTTATTTCATGTGGAGTTAGGGAGATCATCAAGCTGTTCTGAGATTACTTTTTGCACTTGACAATGAACCTTCGAGGGCCAACTATATATCTAATAATTCTAAGAATTCTAATACTCTAATAATTATATCTAATAATGTGAGTTCAAAGCTTACTACTACAAGTTCACAGATGCTTAGGAAGTTGATGGTAATGATAAACAGGATTTATATGATTCTGTGGATTTCCATTATTCATTCACGTAATACATATTTATGAAGCATCTACTTTGCATAAGACAAAGTGCCAGATCCTAGGAAAAGGAGCTTTCTTTATCTATAAAACAAGTATGCATGGATTTAGCCCTGATTATAGGGTCAAACAGAAACAGAAGGTATATATTGACAATTTATGACTTTGGGACAGAGGCTCAGTACAATGAGCCAATTGGCATAAGGGGCAGCAAGATGGAGAGCTCCTTCCACCTTAAGGTAGGTTCACGAATGAGGGGACATTTGTGCTAGAACTTGGGTAAGTAGAGACTGAGGATACAGAGGGGGAGAAAAGTATTTGGTACAGAAGGAAGTTAAGATTCAGGGTAGAGATGGGGGGTATGTAGAAAGTATCTGGGGAACAAGGAGGTATAGGTTTCATAAAAGGAGAGGATAGAAAGTCAGGTAGAAATCAGATAGTCAAGGATCATGAATGTCATGCCACATCAAGGCAACAGCGAAGCTGTTTATAGGCCATCCCAAATTGCTCGCCATCACAGGGGGCCTCCATCTCTAGAAGAGTTAAGCTTTTCAGCTACTCACTTTGCCATTGGAACTCTGTGTTGGACCAGAATTTAGCATCAGTTCTGAGCTTTGGTTGGCCTGGTTGGCCCCAAGCTTGGTGCCAATAGGCAAACAGGACTTAGTTTAATCTATTCAGAGACAATGCTAAAGAGATGAAGACCATTCTTGCCCAGAAAGAGTTAATGATCTGATATTCAGAGGGCCCATGGCAACCTTGCGCTTCTATTTTCTGTTCCTCTGGGGGTGAGTATATATGGCATTCAGCCACCTTTTGGTAGAAACAGTTATAGAACTTCTAGAAACACTTCTGTGGAAAAGAAATCATGAAAAGTGCATCAGCCCCACAGAAATCCTACTATTTCCTCATAGATTTCTGATGAGTACTCACAAGCCTGCTGCTCACTGATCCTCTCAATAGCCTCAGCAAGTCTGAGATGGTTAAACCTCCTTCCTCAACAGAGCAAACTGAAGCCAAGGCCTTCTTCTTCTATCTGAAGCATCAGCCACATGTCAGACACTGGGTTGAAGTTTCTACACCAGTTATCTCAGAAAACTTAGTTAACTGACTAAGGTCACCTTGTTTGTGTATTGGCAAAATGTCAGGCTTTGGGTTTCTAGTTCAGGATTCTTTCTACTGTGCTCTTGCCCTGCCTCAGCACCCCACCTTCACTGCACCCCCTCTCTGTAGCTGGCCTATGATTTCCTCCTGGCATCTCTTCCAACTAAGCTTGTATCCTTACACAGGCCCTGGGAACCCAAACTCTGGGCATTTCTCTACATTTTCTTCCAAGCAAAACTTCCTTATTTTGGCTCACCTTCTCAGAATCCTTTTTCCTGTCAAAAGGCAGTGAGTGACACAAAAATAAGAATAGGAAATCAACTACTCTAAAGCATTATTTCTACACCCCTGGAAGTCAAACAGTATATTAATTTAGGCTCTTTATTATTGTGTCATATGATATCTCGGATAACTTTTGTGAGCTTTAATTTTGCATAAAATGGATACAGTAATAATAATAATAAATAATGTCTAAATTATCAGATTGTTATAAAGATGACATGAAATAATGCATGGCTCATTTTAAGCTGGTACAATCAGCATATAGTCACTGTTTTAAGATTATAATGATTATTTAGGGCAAACATTAGACTTTTAAATGACTTCTTGTTCACTAGTTCAGCATTTAGACCATACAAGCCTGGCGCTGGTGGCTTATGCCTGTAATCCTAGCTACTCAGGAGGCTGAGATCTGAGGATCTCGGCTCAAAGCCAGCCTGGGCAGGAAAGTCCGTGAGACTCTTATCTCTAATGAACCACAAGAAAACCAAAAGTGGTGCTGTGGCTTAACCAGTAAAGTGCTCATCTTGAGCTGAAGAGCTCAGGGACAGCACCCAAGTCCAGAGTTCAAGCCCCACGACTGACCAAAAAAAAAAGACCAATGAGTATCTGTTAAATGAGAGAATAAAAGATGAAACAATGGATCCACCTCTATCCCTAGTTAAACGATTTGTTTTTTCCCTTCCCCTCCACAAATTATACCAATCAAATACAGTGAAAGCAGGGGTTATATCTTGGGGGAGGGACATACAAAGCAACATAGAAATCATTTTATAAATATATTAGAAACAATCGCATGAAAGAAAAAACATTTAAATGCTTATGCAACAAGGAGATGTACAACTCGTTATGTCAAAAAATGAACTTTACAACTTTGTTGGGGGGGGGAGAGCGGGTTGAGGGAGGAGAGGGGAGTATGGGAAGGGATGGGAAGGGGAAACAAAGAGGAGGCAACAATGCTTGACAAGAAATGTACTCATTACCTTGCCCATGTAATTGTAACCCCTCTGTACGGTATTCTCACAATAAAAAAAAAATGAAACAAAATGAGACCTTGGAGAACTATTTTGGAGGACAGTACTTGGGTATGAACTCACACTTCCAAGGTAGGCACTCCACCACTTGAGCCACTACCTCAACCTGGAAAATGCAGCTTTTAAGAAAGTCAGGTTATGCAAAGCTTTGAACATCCTAACCTTCTCATCTTTACCCATCCCACAAGCTTCTACAGTCACCTTTTAAGCAGATGACATTTGTAGTTGGCTATTGGGACACAGCCACTTGGGTGTCTGATATTTCTCTCAAATCCAGCAAGTTGCTAAACAAATAAATCTTCTTTTCCTTATTGTTTTTGAACATTTTTTGCTGGGCTGTCCTCCTTCCTCATTTTTCACATCTCCCATGCCTGAAGCTATCCAATCTGTTCTATCTCCTCTCTATTGCTAGTTGGCCAACAAGTTCTGCTGATTGTATTGAGTCCATATTTCTGGCACCTTCTCCATGATATTTCTATCATCTCTACTGCCTTGAACCAGTGCATATATTTCTCATTTAAGCCATTACAGTTGAACAGTTCAGTGAACAGTTCTAACTCCCCATTCCATTTCATGTTCTCCAAACCATCTACAGGTGAATCACTTTCTTGCCTTCAAATCTCCAGTGGCTCCTTATCTCTATAAAATAAGGCTCACATATTTTAGCTTGACCTTAAGCTTTTCATAGACTATGTCCAATCTGCCCTTTAAATTTCTCCTTCATCTTCTCCATGCTTCATCCTCTCTAAAATCTTTTCAGTTTTGTATGAGCTTTGTATTTTCATGAATATACGCCTGCCTACTCCTCAACCCCTTTAATTTCTACATTCAAATTCTACAATCTTTGTAAATTCCAGTGGAAAACTAAAAAAGCATCTCCCAGCTGGGTGCTGGTAGCTCACACTTGTAATTCTAGCTATTCTAGGCTGAGATCTGAGGATCACGGTTCAAAGCCAGCCCTGGCAGGAAAGTCTGTGAGACTCTTATCTCCAATTAAACGCCAGAAAACCATAAGTGGCGCTGTGACTCAAGGGGTAGAGTACTTGCCTTCAGCTGAAGAGCACAGGGACAGCATCCAGGCCCAGAGTTCAAGCCTCACGACCAACAAAAACAGAACACAAAAAACAAGAAAACATCTCCCTCCCATCTTCCAGAAGCTTCCCTTCCAGAAGACATGACTTCCTCCTCTGAATTTGCATAGTATTTTTTTTTAAATCATCTTTCTTTCTGTACTACAGTTGCATTCATTTCCTTCTCTTTCCATAGTAGCTCTATGGTCTTTAAGGACAAGTAATAGTCATGTTATTTTTTTGTTTTTGAAGACTTAGGGAAAACCTGGGCAACACCCTTGGGTTTTAAATGTGATGGAATTATATATTCCTTGTTTGGGTATTTCATAGGTCATAACTCCTTTGTCTTTCAGATGACTACAGGACAATTGGAGGATAACGTGCCATCAACTTTCTGTGCTTGCCACTTCATGCCTAAGACCCTTTCTGATTTATTGGAAATGTCCATTGACTTAGATGGGTCCAATAGGATGTGTCAAAGACTGGCTTGAAGACCATGCTTCCTTGCTTTCACTGGGGCTTCTTTAGCTATGGGTATGGATGTCCCATAGGACTGTGTGTGCAACTATTTTCTTCCTCTTTTTTGTGTCATCTTGCCCTTTCTTCTTTCATTTTCTCATTTTTTCCTCTCCTCTTCCATAACTTAAATCTTGCACATTTCTTAGTTTCAAATCTTTATTCCACTTGCAAAGAACTTAATCTCAGATATTTTTTGTCTATAAAACACAGATAATTCTCATTCTATGCATTATCTTGCCTTTCTCCCTTTCACAGGGATTGGCCCAAGAGCACTTTCTACTATGTGAATT